GAGTGTTGTAGAACTAAATTTGTAGAGTTAAAAATCTTAACTCTACCTTGTATTTATATATTTAACTGCCTCTTATACATTAAAAAAAATATTCAGAAATTCAAAAGACATGATGAGGTCCATCATTATGGAACCAGACACCACTAATTATTATGGAATTAAATGTTTTAATTTGTTGCCTAATCCAATTAAACTACTTGATATTAATACTTTTAAATCAAAAATTACTTGTTAGAGAGAGCATTCTACAGTGTGGATGAGTACTGTGTGAGCACTTTTGATGACCTAGTATTCTCCCTCTGGAGAAGACGGTGCACATGGGATTGGCGGTGGAAGGAGAAATATTGTTGTAAGGTTTGTATCTAGGAATTTGCGCAATCAGTTTCTTTCGGCCTCTAAGATGTATCGGAAGAATAACAATGCTGCCTCCCCTGGCCTCTGTATTCCCAATATAAGCGACAAGCTGTTTATTAACGAACATCTGACCCCTGCTAGCACTGAATTATTTAAAAGGAGTAAAGAGGCATGCCGCTTGAAGGAGTAGAAGTTTTGCTGGTTGAAAAATTGCGTAATACATGTTCGTCGCGACGATAGATCGAGGGTCATGATTATTAAATCGGCCGAAGACTTGTCGAAGCTTTAGGTCAGCCAAAACTAAAATTTTTTATTAAGCCTTTTATTTAGACTATGACTCTGTCTATTTACTATCAGAATGTGCGTGGTTTGCGCACCAAGACTGCTATATCTTATGCGAACTCGCTGAACCTGACCTACGATTTGGTGTGTTTAACAGAGACTAATCTGAACGATTCCATCTACAGCGGTGAGATCCTTTGCAGTAACTACGTCATTTATCGTCGTGACAGAAATTCGACTACTTCTGCTGGTTTTGAATCCGGTGGTGTTCTTGTTGCGGTTCGCGCGGGCATTTTCGCGATCCCTGTACCTAATTTTCATTCGAATGCCGAGGACCTTTGGTTGAGTGTATGCTTTTGTGGCTCGCGAGTGTTGTTATGCTGCGTATATTTGCCTCCAAGTGATTCTGTGTCATTTAACCTTTTGCTCCATCAACTTCAGTACGTGCGCTACCGGTCTCCAGCCACACCTATACTATTGGTGGGTGATTTCAATGTTCCCAACATTTCTTGGGCCGCGTCATTCGCGGGGAACCTTGTGCCTGTTGTCGTCGCTAACCCTCGTGCGACTGAGTTACTTCTTACTATTTCTTATTGTAATTTGTCTCAATTTAATAATATTGCTAACAATAACTCCAGATACCTAGATTTAATTTTGTGCAACTCGGGAGGAGTCGATTCGGTGCGCTCCTGTAACGATCCGCTAGTAGACTTGGATGGGCATCACCCTGCTTTTGAATTTTTGTTTAAGTTTGATAAACGTCATGTCTTGCGTGAGAGCCCATCGGTCACCTGGAGGTTTGATCGTGCGGATTTTGACGGTCTCAGGGGTGGGCTGGCAAGTGTTGATTGGCGCAGTTTATTTAGTGGGTTAGATGTTGATCTCTGTGTTGATACTTTTTATTCTGTCTTGTATGGGTATATGAATGAATTCGTTCCCCAGAGCTTCTCCCGTAATAATCGTTTTCCTCACTGGTATACGCCTTCTACTATTAAATCTGTTAAAGAAAAATTGAAATACCATAAAAAGTGAAAGAGATGGGGTAATCGAAACGACTACCTTTCCTTTAGCTTCCAGCGCAAGCGTGCCAAGGCTTTAATTGCTGCTGATTATCGCACTTATCTGAATCGCGTTCAGAGTAACTTGATTGATTGCCCATCTAGTTTGTGGTCTTTTGTTAAAAGTAAAAGACGCGGTGGCGGCGGTATTCCGTCTCGAATGGAGCTGAACGGTGAAGTGGCGGATGACGGGAAGCGTATAACTGAACTTTTCTCTCAGTTTTTTAGCTCTGTTTATATCGACGGTTGCCTGAATACCTCTCACAAGCGAAATGTTATTTACCAATCGCAGCCGTGGTTCTCTGAACGTGATGTCTCTCACCTTCTGACACAAGTCGACCATAAATTGGGCCCTGGCCCCGATGGCTTGCCGGGACACTTTATTGCTAAATGTGCAGGGGAGTTAGCAACTCCTCTATTCATTATCTTCAGCCGCTCCATTGAAAATTCAGTCTTTCCCTCTGAATGGAAAAAAGCCTTCATAACTCCAGTCTTTAAATCGGGTAGCAGACATTTTGTGTGCAACTATCGTCCAATTTCCCTATTATCCATTGTTTCGAAGGTCTTTGAAAAATTAATTTATGACAACTTATATAGCTATCTTCGACCTGCTATTATCCCTCAACAACACGGTTTTTTGCGTGGGCGATCAGTTGAGACGAATCTGGTTGCGTTTGTTCAATACATTCAGGATTCTATGAATGATAACTCTCAGGTGGATGCTATCTACACCGATCTGACAAAAGCTTTTGACAAGCTTCACCATAACATTCTTATGGATAAGCTGAACAAGTTTAACCTATCTAACGGGCTGTCTCTATGGATTTCGTCCTATATATCTAAGAGATTTCAAGCAGTGAAAGTAAATAATTTCATATCTAGTTTTACTCCTGTTACATCTGGTGTACCTCAAGGTAGCCATCTTGGACCTATTTTATTTCTAGCCTATATAAATGATGTTTCTGAGTGCTTTCATTATTCGAATTTTTCTCTTTTCGCTGATGACTGTAAAATTTTTGCTAGCATCAGGTCTGCTTCTGACTGTATTCGGTTGCAAGATGACATTGACAGATTTGATTCTTATTGCTCACAAAATTACTTATTTCTAAATCCTGATAAGTGTGGTCAGATCACGTTCAGTAGAAAGAGATATAATGTTAACTTCAAATATAGGTCCGCATTATCTTACTCAATCCTCTTCAGTTACAGAACTTGACGTTGTTCTGGATTCTAGACTACTCTATCACGATCATATTACTTCTATCGTTTCTGAAGCTACTAAGCGCCTAGGATTTATCATTAGGATTTCTCGTCCATTTACTAACGTCCGCTGCATTACTTCTTTATATATGGCATACGTTGCTAGCGGTTTAAATTTCGCTTCAGTAGTATGGAGTCCTGCCTATAATATTTATATCGACCTTATTGAGGGCCTACAGAGAAGATTTATCCGTTATCTTGCTCACACATTTTATCTTCCGTACTGCCCTTATTCCCAAAGATGCAGGGTGTTTGGTCTAAGATCCCTCTGTGGCCGTCGACACAGTACGGACCTATTGTTCCTGTTCAAACTAGTTAATGGAGTTCTCGACACTCCGGTTCTTTTAGAGCAGATTCACTTTAATGTTCCTTCTTATGCTACTTGATCACTATTTTTGTTCAGACTACTTGCTTCTGGATCTAGTGCGCATGCCGGTTCACCTCTGTTGAGACTGATGCACACTTGCAATGTTTATTGTTTCAATGTTGATTTCTTTTGTAATTCAATGATGTTTAAAAAATCCGTTTTAACTTTAAGTATTTGTCATTAGTTTTTTTTTTCTTTGTAAAATTAATTTAATCAATCGAAACACATTCGTTTACCATATTTATATTGATTTCTTGCGGGTGGTGGGACAGAAAAGAAAAGCAACAAAAATTTGTTCTTTCTTATGGTCCTTATTATTCTGTTTTTCTATCCGCGTAATATCGATGATTATGTGGACCAATCTAGTCTCTGTGTTTATTTTCTTTTCTGCTTCGTGCTTGCTGATTTAATTCCATTTTTTTTATTGTTTCATGCTTTTGATGAATTTTTCAGTTTTTTTTTTACAGTTTTTCAGTTTAAAACAGACTACATAAGAAAGAATTCTTATGTAGTCTGTTTTCCTTTCTTTTATATTATTGTAGTGGACACTTTTTTGGGATTTTTTCCTGTATGTGTCCCGAATATGAATAAATAAATAAATAAATAAATAGGCTTACCTTGCATGCCTTACTCGTCCGGATTTGTGCCGTCGTTTATTGTGGATGTAGTTTTAAGATGTTCTTAATGTTGTTAGTTGACTAGCGGTAATGTTACATGTATTTTTTATTATTTTATTTTTTATGTATTATACGCTTTTTTTGACTTGCGCAAATACTGTTGTATGACGTCGCCAATAAAGATTTATTATTATTATTATTTATATAAGTGCACTAGCTATATTTTGTCGAATTTCGCATATGATTTCTTCTGGTGTCTGAAGAAGAACGCTATCATGGTACGAAACTAACCCCATTAAAGGGAGCGGGAGGCTATCGGCTATCATGCAGTTGTGGAAAGCATTGCGTTGGCCAAACTGGACGTAACATCAAGTGACACATCAAGGAGCAAGAGAGGAATGACTGACTAAATAAAAGTCGGCAATAACAGAATATTGCCACAAAAAATGGCAGGCCATAGATTTCGATAAGAGCAAAGTGCTAACCAGAGCTGGAAATTATTTCCAAAGGATGACAAGAGAGGCGATAGAGATCCATCGACATAGGAACAATATAAATAGAGAAGACGGCTGGAAACTTAGCCGCATATGAAAAATTCTAGTTAACTCGACGAAGGTTTCTCCGCCCGGATTTGACAAAAACAACTTAGTTGATAATAATTGGTCGGTAATTAGTGTTAATTTGTATTTAATTATTTTTTATGGACATTTATACAACCCAACCAAAAAGTTTCTAGTTCTAGTGATAGTGCTAGTGTTAGTTCTAGTTTTAGTTCAATAAAGAATCTAAAATAAAAAATAGCGAAATGTAAAAAATTGTTATCAATCTTTAAAGTTGATTGAAATCAATTGCTATATAAATCAAATTAGAATTCAGTCCAATTATATTGTGTATTTGATTTGCAAGAAAAACAAAATCATTATCTTCCACAATTTGAAACTGCGTTTCAAATGTGTATTTACGTTCATTAATACCATGACCTTTCTTTTAATTTATTCATTTGGATGGAATGATTAAACTACACATAACAAAACGTTTTCGAGTACAGGAAGTGGTTCTTACCTTGAAAATTATTTTTTAGAAACACAATTCCCATATCTACCGGAATACTATCTAATCCACAGGCACTTATAATATAAATTCCTTTAGATTTCGCCTCTTCATGATACAATAACTGCATTTTTTCAGTGTATAACGACTCTCCACTAAGATCTACGTGGTGAGTACCGCTTGCTAAACAAGCCTTAACTACCTGTTCTCCATAAAGGTAGTAAGGTCCAGTTGCATTTAGAACAATTCTTGCTTGAGAAGTCATGTTCTTTAATGAATTCTCATCGTTTATATCCGCAATTATGATTGGAACATTATCATAATTAACACCTAAAATACACATTAAATTGTTTTATTTATGTAATATTTAAATTGTTCATTGTTTACCTTTGCTCTGACCAAACTCTTTCAACATTTTTTTAATTTTCACCTCTGATCTTCCAGCGACACCCCATGACAGAGACAAATTGTACTGATGTATTACATTTGTAAGATAGGGTATTGTTCTAAGTCCTGTATAACCGGTAACCCCGAATATTATAATGTCTAGTTTATCCGACATGTTTTATAACAGGCGTGCTTGGTTAATAGATATAAAATGTGTCGTTTCTGGCCTCTAACGATCGCGACGTTTTCTCAGCATAATTATATATAATTGAGTAATGGCTATGCGAGGAGGGATTCAATGTTAATCGGAATGTGTTTATAAAAAAATAATTATTTATTTGGTGTAAGTTTAAAGGAAACCAGGTAATTTGTTTAAAATTTATTTTGTAGACAAGTTACTGTTGCCTTTGTACTATTAAAACCTGTGTACCAATTGAAATATTAACGTAGCACATCTAAGTGGTTTTATTATCAAGCTATAATACCTTCATTCCTTTATAGACGGAGGGTAAGAAATGTTAACAAGAAGAACCTTAATTTGAATTGGTAGAGATTGCAAAATTGAGCAGCGATATAATTATTTTATAATTTTATATGGAGTTGGTTAAATTAAATCAAATATTCCTTTCAACAAACTTGGATATGTCTAAGTGAACATAACAATTTCAAGATCAAATATCAATCAAGTATATCTTGAGAAAAAAATATTTACGTGACGTAATTGAAAAAAAATTAGTTCCAAAAAACAAACAATGGGTTAATGAAATAATTTATGGTTCAAGCTTTTTTAAATTGAATCCACCCTCAAATGTGGATAATGATTTGGAATTGTATGAATGTTGTAATGATGATATATTGGAAGTATATAAAATTCGTCCTATAGTAAAAAGACAAAGTCCTTCAGCAATACAAGAAGATGTGCGAGCAGTTGATTCTAAGTGTTAATTAAGAATTAATTATTTATTTAAAAACTATTATAATTATTATTTTAGTGTCGCTAGTGATCAACTATCAACTCAACTTGAACAACATAGAGGATCATCAACAGTCTCTGCTCAAGTAGGTACTCCTTCTTTACCTTACGGTGCAAGAACTCCTCAAGAATCTTTAATTCAACCCGTTGGGTTACAACATTTGGATGAAGCTGGTGCTCATCCAGTTCATCCAGTCATTAAATTTTTAATGTAATTAATGTTTGGAGTTCTATTTAATTTCATTAGGTTTAATATGAAAAAGAAAAATGTTGAATATAGTATTGCCATAACTATTAATATGAATATGTTATTATAAAACTGATTTGATATTGCTACTATTTAATTTTAGTAGGAGATTAATTTCTGTTATAAAATTGTTAATGCGAGTTCTATTTAGTTTTATGAGGTTTAAATCCAAAAAGACAAATATTGAACCGTAGTAGTTTATCTGAATACATTGTTGTAAAAATATGTTCAATATAATATAACTTTTCGATACTCTCGATTCTAGAATCTCTAGAACCCAAGAATTGTGAGTATCAAAAAGTCAATAATTTGTGTCATAAAATTATAGTAACAAATTTAAAATCAATAATTAATTATTGACATTTTAAACTGTCTGTAAAATTTCCCAAAGTGTTAATAAGAGTGTCCTCTTTACAATGAAACAACGCGTTTTGAAAAATATCTTTCAGTTTTTGAGAAAACAATATTTGAAGTTTTGATAAAATTTTCAATGTTGCAATTTTCATCGATAACTTTCAAAATTCGCTATAAAATTAATTTCTTGAAGGATCTTTGTGGAAATATTAATTCGTCAATTATTAATTAAAGTATCCACTTTTTAGAGTTGCTTCGTTAGTTAAATCAGAAAGAATAGATTTGCAGATCTATTCTCTAGAGCAGGGATGGCGAACCAATGGCGCGCTTGCCATAAATGGCACGCGACACAATATTTTGCTGCTAATGACGCATAGTTTGTTTATGCATAACATAATAGTGAATATTTGATTTGAAATTTATTTGAGTTTTATCTATGATCAAAAAGTGCAAGATAGAAAGAGTATCAGAAAATTTCAAACTTGGTGGACAGAGAAATATGGCATGATTAGTAAATGTGACAAGGCGGTGTGTGTTTTATATTCTGGAACATCGTCTGTGAAACGGCATTTTGAAACAAATCACAAATACGTTAGTCAAAAAAGCGAACCAGAGCAAAAAGAATTAATTGCAAGTGCATTGAAAGACAGAAATAAACAGTGAACATCTATGACTAAATATGTTCGCAAAAATTGTTATACGAGCGCGACAAGTTACGCGGCTATAAATGTCATTGGTCGGCATAGTAAACTTTTGCAAGAGGGAGAGTTTTTGAAGGAAGTCTGGTTATAATAATAATAGTAACTTTATTTAAACAAAGTACAGCATGGTACAGTATTGACGTCACAAGAAAAGAAAACAATAATGTTCACATAAAGGAAATGCCAACTATAAATAATAAAATATAACAATTTCCGATGATTCATTTCTCGGTCATCCATTCAAAGTATTCTTGCACAGTATAGTATTCATTCTCCAAGAGGAAATTCTTACAGTGATTCGAAACTGTTTTACTTCCATACTTCTTGTTTCCAATGGTAGTGCGTTATATAATTTGACGGCTATATAATCGTATGTGTTTTGTGATATGACCACTCGGTGATATGGAGTCACAATATTTTCTTTGTATCGGGTGTTGTGTTCGTGATTGTCTGCGTTTTTCAGCATCAAATCTTTATTATTGTGAGTATACTCTAGACAGGAGCGTATAAAACAGCACGGCAAGGTAAGTATTTTTAATTTTTTAAATTGGGTTCTACAACTCTCTTGATTTTTTAGTCCAGCCAGTATCCGAACTGCTTTCTTTTACATAACGAAAATGGCTTCCATCTCTCTAAATGCACCCCACGTAATGATCCCATACATAGCATGGAAATACGCGAATTATACGCTTCGCAATGTCTCGGGTGGAAGGTTTGAACGTATTGTTTTAATGCAATACAGAGCACTAGCCAGTCGCCCTTTCATGTTTGTTATGTGTTTGGACCATTTAAGAGTTTCTGAAATAGTAACTCCAAGGAACTTTATGGATTTATCTGTAACTCCATCGCATCGTCTTGTGTGAAAGGTAAGTATGTTTGTTTTTTTTATCTTTATTCATCTTTAATTTATTTATGTAGAACTAATGCTCAGCTTCTTCTATATTTTATTTGGTTTTTTCTTCCAGCTCCTTGATGTCGCCACTTCTCGCAATAAAAGACAATGTCTTCTTACAATGTCCTGGAAACCTCAAATTCAATCCGTCTGCAGAAAGGTCTATCATTGTTTCCACTCACTGAAAAGTCTCCGTTGCTTCCTTCCTCCCATGATCCGTCGTAATCTTTGTTTTTCCCTGATTTTCCCCCATATTGATTATGCTGACACGGCATATCCTGATCTTTCGGTAACACTACGAAACAAACTGCAAAGACTTCAAAACAACTGCATACGGTATATCTTTGATCTCGAGAGATCTCAACACTTAACCCCATACCGTAATTATTTGCAGATATTAAGCTGTCAGAACCGTAGATCGTTTCGTATATTAACTATGTTATATACTGTTCTTCACAATCAAACCCCGAGGTATCTGTATTGTATATTTCAACGCTTGTCGTCGCATGGTTTACCCACTAGATCTCAGTTAGATTCTGTGCTTATGTTCCCGACCCATAGTACCGAGATTTACCATAAATCGTTTGCTGTGCAGGCAATAACCCTTTGGAACAGTCTGCCTACTGAGATCCGTAATATTCCTCACCTTGTAACATTTAAAAACCACCTAAAACGTCATTTATTGGCTCCAAGTATCTTCCTGAGAACTTTTTTTTCTCCCTTTTCTTCTCTTCTTTTACTTTTCTTCTCTTCTCTTCTTCTTTTATTCCAGCAACTATCATTTGTTGCCGTATCACAAAAATATATACTACTTATCCCACCCAATTTTCCTAACTTTAACTTTGAAAAGTGAATTTTATCGCGGTACCTCGACCAGCTCAATGGAGAAGGGGTGATTCATTTATACAGCGCCACGCCATTGAATAAACCATGATAACACAATAATGGCGAAAAGAAGATATTAAAAATTCAAAATTTTCAGTTATACAGGATGAGACAAACACAACAGTAAATAATTGAAATTCAAGAATAGCAAACAAAATAATACGAAATATATTGGACGAAAAAAAAATATATATATAAAAGTTTGTAATACACAAACCAAAATAATAAATGAAAATTAAAATTAAATATAAAAAACTGATGATTGAAATTGGAAAATGTGAATATGAAAATTAAATTATTCCAAATCAGAAAGCCAAAGCAAAAAAAAATATAAATTTCCGTATTCGTCTGATAAAATTAAATTTAATTTAGAACGAATTTTATGAATCGAAAAGAAAAAAATTCCAATTAAAATTTTACAAAAGAAGATAATTAAGAGATTAATGAATTTAATAATAATAAAAAAAAAAAATGAAACAAAGATAATTTAAATTAAATTTCCAAAATAGTAAATTGTTTCTTGAATGTTTTATAACAAAACTTAACGTGTGACCTTTTCCTTGGATAAGATTACCATAAAGAATCTCCAGATGACCATCCAGGAAGAACTTAAGGTAGGATATTTCTGATAACGCCTTCTTCCTTCAGGATACTTATTTTGAGGATTTTTAGGTGACTGAATGACCTCGTGATTTTATTCCCCACGAGGTGGATGAAGAAAATTTTCTTAAAATGCTCCCTCCAAAAGCCTAACCAATTAAAATTAATTAAGAAAAAAAAAATCCAATAGTTTTAAGATAGTTTTAAGTATAGTTTTAAGTTTTTTTTTATTTTTTATAATTTTTTTTTTTTTTTTTTTTTTTTTTAGCATGTTTTGTTNTTTTCCCCCATATTGATTATGCTGACACGGCATATCCTGATCTTTCGGTAACACTACGAAACAAACTGCAAAGACTTCAAAACAACTGCATACGGTATATCTTTGATCTCGAGAGATCTCAACACATAACCCCATACCGTAATTATTTGCAGATATTAAGCTGTCAGAACCGTAGATCGTTTCGTATATTAACTATGTTATATACTGTTCTTCACAATCAAACCCCAAGGTATCTGTATTGTATATTTCAACGCTTGTCGTCGCATGGTTTACCCACTAGATCTCAGTTAGATTCTGTGC